TCTATTTTTAGTGTGTCAACATCTAAAGTTATTGTCTGGCTAAAATATGATCATTTTCTCCTTGGTTATTTGTTCAATTTCTCTGAAATTTAGAAGGTTCAGAGTTCTCCAGATTTGTTGTTCAATTCTTGTTTTATTACAATCCAGCTGGAACTTTTAAAAAGACAGATACATAAGGATGTCCCTTAATCTAGAGTATATTTTGGAGTATGGCATAAAGTAACTTGGATACACTATTTTTCTAAATGTCTTTGTTCCAAAATCACCTGCTGAAAGATATTGCCGGTCCTCTCGCGTGTCCTGGGACAGCTGCTTCTCTGACCCTTGCTGCCTTGCAGTGCAAGCTGTGTGCTCAGTATCACCCGAGGCCTATCTTGCTGGACTTTGTGTCCCTCCAGAAAAGAATGGCCCTTAGAATACACTGGAGTCAGATGTAATGCCAACAATTGTAGTTCCAGCTATCCAGGAGGCTAAGGCAAGAGATCCCTTGAGCCCACTTGTTTGAGATCAGCCTGGGCAACATAGTGAGACACCATCTCAAAAAGCAAAAACATGAAACAAAGCGAATACATAAATGCAAGAAGAGTTTGGCCTGTGAGTCTAGCAAGAGCCTATTTTTAAAAATGGAAAGAGAAGGGCATGTAACTTAGCACAAAGGCCCTGTGTTCAGTCCCCAGTGATACAAAAATATGTGCGTGTATATCCATGTGTGTGTGCCCACGTGCATGTGTGTGTGTGTGTGTGTGTGTGTGTGTGTGTGTAAAGTGATCAATTTAAATGTCAGTGATTCCAGAGACTGCAGAACCTTCCCGCACTTGGGACACCATGCCACAGGGTAATTCATCATACTTTTTCATTTCTTACTTGATTTTTAACACATGAGATGCTTTTCTCCCAAGGAAAATCTCGTTCCATTGGTATGACCATTTTAAGCTGTTATTTTTACATTGTTTATGTGAAATGGATAAATATTTTTAGAAGAACTCTATTGCCACAAATGGAAGAAAATGGTGAGTTCCTGGAGACTGCTTGTGATCTCATTTTATTGCATTCTGTGTTGGTGAGAAAAATGCACTTTCAAAAGCACCAAGGCCCCAAGCTGGGCTGGCAGCCTGTCCCCCAGGTCCCAGGAGTTTGGGGCCTCATCACCTTGAGTCATGGGACCTCCATGCTCCTGAAGTGAAGGGCTCTGACACAGTTTTATACCTGTCCTTAGGCCTCAGAGACCTACACTGCTTGGCCAGGCTCTGATAGTCACCTGTCTCCTTTCACTTCCAAGGTCCCGCCCTTTGTCCCAAAGCTCGCCCAGACCTGTTGGCACTGGACCTCCACCCAGCCTTCACCTTGCCGCTGCTAAGATCGGACCACCTCTGTCCCGGGACGGACCAGGGAAGGTGAGGTCTAAGCCCTTACTCCTGGGCTTTTCCAGGTGCACAGGCTGGTGTGGACGTGGCAAGTGTTCTTCAGATGTGTCCCTCGAATCTGTGTCCTTGTCTCCACACCCATGACTTCAGTCCAGCATTGTTATGTGTTCCTTCAACTCAGTCCCTAGACCTAGTGAGCTGTCCACACCTGGGTGTGGCAGAGACCCGCTGGGACCTGCAGCACTGTTTTGAAGCTGAGTGAGTGCGTTTGTAGAAGCGTTTGTGCTGCTGATGTTTGGGTAGTGAAAGAAATGACAACTTATGTTGGCCCCACAGATTCTGGGAAGTAAGCTTGAGCCAAGGGTCTTGGCTGATGGAGAGAGACATGCACTGACCCATGTCGGGAGGAGAGGGTGCAACGCAGGGAGCGGGCCAGCAGGGTGGGGCTGTGCATGACTTTTGCACTTTCCGAAAGGGCACGCAGGCTATGAAATGCAGAGGAGCATCACTCAATCCTCTCTCCCTCTCTGAGATCATTTGTTCTTCATCTAGTCATTGTTTCAGCGAATTTGGGTGGAGAGCCAATGTCCTGGGGTGGGGACAGAGATCAGAACTCAGCCCTTTCCCTGGAAGCCACGACTCTGGGAGGAACCGTGGTCAGCTGCAGACACACGTATGCTCTGTAGAGAGCGAGGCTGGGGGCCCCGACCCTAGCAGGCAGGTCCAGAGCTTCTGCCCTGGGGTGCCCAGTGCTGCTTGGAAGACTGGGTAATGTAGCAGGCACAGGGAGGGCGGGCTTTCTCCAGCTGCTCAGAAGTCCTTGGCACAATGGAGGGCCAGTGGGACCAGCACATGTGCGAGCAGGAGGGGCCCTTCATTCTATGGAGAACCTGCTTCTAGTGGGCAGAAGCTACCTGTAGTTGAAAGAGAGGCATCCATTGCTCACAGCTGGGGAGAGACCAGCTGTGGCCACCAGCCAGCCCCACCCAGTTGCCCTGAGCCTGGAATCTTTCCTTTCACCCTAACCTCTAAAACAGACAGTAGGGGCCAGCACCTACTCCTGGGCCTCCAGCATCCTCTGGTCTGATAGCCCCTAAGAAAATGTTCCTACAGGGCTGTCCCACCTGACATGGGCTCTGCACCATCACAGCAGTGTGATTTGGGGCTGCAGTCTCCTCATTGGCAAAATGGGCATAAAACAATCAATCTCGGATCACCTGGCATGTAGTGGGCACTGAGTTGGGGAGAGTTGCAATGATCCTCCCTGTGTTAATGGTGGTTTTTCACATTAGTAACTGCAGCTTTGATTGGCATTGTTTCCACTTTTGGGTGTGCTTTTTTTTCCCAGTCTCTGGATTCTAGAGGTGGGGTATGGCAAAGCCCTGATCAGAAGCCTCAGAAACAACTCCCCCATCCTCAGTTGTGTACTTGAATTTCACGGCTCTGGTTTGAGTATAGTTTTGTCCGCCACAGCTCTGCCCCAAAACTCGTGTTGCAGTCAGATTGCCACCATGGCAGTGTTGGGAGGTGGGGGTAGGGCATGGTGTTCAGGTCATGGGGCTGAGTTGCTCCCATGTGGATTGGTGCCTTTCCTGCAGAAATGGGAAGGTCACCATGGACATTTGCCCCCTGTTCTGCATGTCTGCACGCACCTGCTGGCCCTGAAGCTTTCTGTCAAACTGAAGCAACAGGAGGCCTCACTAGGAGACTCGCAGGTGCTGGTGCCTTTGGACTTCCAGCCTCCAGAACTGTGAGCCAAAACTAACCTGTGTTTACAAAACAGGCAGGTGCTGTGTTATAGCAATGGAAAGCGGACAGGGACACTCATCATCTCAATCAGAAACACAAGATGGAGTCAGAAGAGCGGGAAGATGTGCTCTGGACCAAACATCATGGAGTTTCAGATGGCAGCCAAGGCCCCCAGGGGACAGAGGCTGTGGAGGGGCATGGAGAGGGGTTTCCCACCCCTCTGTGCATGGACTGTGATTGCCTTTGAACGCACTTGTAATTTTACACCATGAGTGCTTTGTGCATTAGTGGCAAGTGGCTCTCAGCTCTGGGCTTAAATTGCTTCATCTATAATGTGAAAATTATGGGCCAGGGGATCTTCATGAGCCCAGCCAACAACCACTGTTGCCCTAGGTACATCGGGAATCTGCTGGGAGGGGAGTCTAAACCATAGCTCTCTCCCTCTCTGCTAGACAGCGCTGTGGATCCAGTGCAAATGCCCTCCTGTTCCCTGGCACTTTGTGTTCTCCTAATGCCAAGTGCTAAACCCAGGGCTCCAGGCTCCCAGAGAGGAGCTCACTAGCAGCGCACCCCTGCCAGAACTCAACCAACACAGGCATTTCCTTACCGATGTCAAAGTCACAGCCAAGGCCAATCCTGCTGCCACGTTCTCATCTAAAAGGAATTTGACCAAGGACAGTTTAGCGGGAGTTAAGCTTCCCTGAGTGGTCCAAGGGGTAAAAAGTTCATCATCTCAGCTGTGAGTTACATCCTGTTTGGCACTATGGGAAATCGCTGGGTGGAGGAACACATTTCTCACCCTGAACCTTTTTCAGGAAATTATGCTGCCCTTTCTGGTGGGTTGGCTACAGAATGTTACGGGAATTCCATCATATCGAAACTCTGCTGCTTTCTCAGAGATACACCTGCCGGGAAGAGGCATGGCATATCTTATCTAAGTTGGAAAAGGCACATCATTCCAAAGAAAAACTCCAGGAACAATTAGGACATTTCAGAACTCAGTGGAGAATGCCAGCTATCAGGAGGTACTTGTGCAGGTAGGAATACCCCTTATCTGAAATGCTTGGGGTCAAAAGTATTTTAGACTGCAGACTTTTAAATTTTGGAAAATTTGCATGTACCTATCTTGGGGATGGGATCCAAGTCTAACAGAATTCATTGAGGTTCCATACATGTCTTATGCACATAACCTGAAGGTAATTTTATACAATACTTTCAGGACACCTCTATTCTAACTGAGTCCTGAAACACGAGATCAGATGTGACATTTTGCCTGTGCTCAAAGCTTTCATATTTTGGAACATTTCAGATTTGTTTGGACCTTTCCATTAAGAAGGCTCAATTTGTCTGTTTCTTTTTGTTTGTTTGTTTATTTGTTTGTAGTACTGGGGATCTACATCTCCAGCCCTTTTTACTTTTTAATTTGAGACAGGGTCTTATTGAGATGCCTGATTGGGACTCCAGCTTGAGATCCTCCTGCCTCATCTCCCTTTATTGCTCAACCTGTTTCTGTACATCACTTTCCCTTGGAGATAAAGAAAGCCTGGCCAGGGGCTCTATGGTGATCATTTCCAAAGTTAGGATGGACCAACTGCTTCTTGCCTGTTTTTCTCCTCCTATTGATCATTCGGTGACTTAAACATGGGGGAAGTCCTTTTCCTTCTTGTTTCCACAAATTGGGATCTCTGACCAAGCGTGAAATTTCTGGCCATCGCCGTTGGTATATGTAGCTGCCATCGGATAGTAAACAGGATTTGACCTCTTAGAAGAAGGTCTCTTTTACCAGACATTTCTAAGTATGTTTGATTTTTTTGTTTATTTGTTTTTGCTTTTGTTTTTGTTTTTCTTCCAGTACCAGAAATCGAACTCCAGTCCTTGGGCTTGCCAGGCAGGCACTGGGCCTCTAAGCTAAATCCCCAGCCCCTTGTAAGTATGTTTGAAACTCTTTCCTTTTGAATCAAAAAAGATAACCGTATCACATGCCGTGTCCTCATGATTCCTGCTGCCCCATCCGGGTCCTCTTAGCATCTCTACTGTGTCATGTGACCGCACTGGTCTGGACTGCTGTCAGGGTGCCTCCCAGGAGCTTGGACTCCGAAGCAGATGCTCTTGCTTTGGAAGCCCAGGCAGGGCACCCTTGGGTTCATAGAATTCTCCATAGCCATCTGCAGACCTGTGCATATCTTGCATCACAGCAATCCCATCATGCAATCTGCTGTCCTCCTGCTGCTGCTTGGCACTGCCAGGCACCTGTCCCTGTCTCCACGAGGCACTGATGCTGCTCACTGTGCTTGGGCTGCTGGGCCCAGGCCCTCGGGCTGGGGCTGCAGGCCAGACCCACATTCCACCTGGGTCTCTGTTCGGCCTCTCTTTCCCTCTGCTGTGGATGGGGAGAGGGAGGCCAGTAGGAGCAGGTGGGCACTGGATAGGAGATGTGGAGGGTCCGCCACAGGCGGCCGTCATGGTGGGGATGGAAGGAGCGGCACAAGCCAAAGGAGGACCCCGGAACTCAAGAACAGGAAGGGCAGGGCTTTAAGGCTTTCCATCTGTGATGGTGGGGAGGTGGGTCTTCTATACTGAGACAGCGGAGGTAGAGAGCTCAGGCTGGGGAGGAATGCTGGCAACTCCTGGGTCTTGACTGACTGCCGGTACCGATGCTGCTCTGGTCCTGAACAGCAGCCTTGTCAGGCTGAGAATGAGCCCACTGCCCAGACTAGAAAGCTGAGCTACAGAAGGGGTTTGTGCAAGTTCACAGTTATTAAATGTTACTAACCTCGTAGTCCACCTTTCTAGCAATCTAATGGGCTGATATTACATGTATCATTATGTCCAGGTTATAAGTGGGGGCCGTGAGTATAAGATTGCTAAGAAGTCCACTCCAAGATGCAAGACCAATAGCTTTGATGGTTACAGACAGAACGTGGGTTTTTTAATGCCAAATTTTATACCAGTTGGCTTAAAGGAGGAGATAAACCAGGTGTGGTGGCACATGGCTATCCTCCAGCACTCTGCGAGGATGAAAAAATGAAGCCCAGACTCAGTGAGTTGGCAGGATTCTGAATGTTTATGGTGGCCAGACAGTCCCTTAGTGGACTTACTCTTTACGAGAAGAGGATTCATTTTCCCACGCGGATGTATAATATGGGACTGAACACATGCAGGGATAGCCTTGATCTTCAGAGCTACTGTCAGAGTGGCATCATTCAGTAAAAAGGAAGGAAACTTTAGGTGGGTCTTGGTCAGTAAAGCCATGTTGACCTCCAAAACCATCTTTCTAATCTACATAGTCACAACAATGTAGGGATATCCTGTGTTAAACCCTTTAGCTTTAGGTTTGGGGATTTTTAAATTATTTTATTGATACAGCAATATGTGCTGCCTCTTTATTCATTTTAGTTTTAGTTTATTTTAGAAGAATTATAAAATGCACATATGCAAAAAGCCAAACAGAAACTACCTGAAATCCCATCTTGTAGCAATGGGCCGTGATCACGCTCTTCCAGATTTACTCCTGTGCACTCATACACAGCCACAGCAGAACTTGCTTATGTAGATGATTGTGTGGGTTTGAACTGCATGCAGACCTTAGTCTCTTCTGCATTTAGTACGGCATAACCGTATTTTGAAACTTCAGCAAATATATCTTTTAATTCCATATTGTGAAACATTCAACTTAACAGTCTCAACTCTTATTTCCAAACACTAATTAGCTGACCTTGTACCTAAGCCTTTGCCAACATTCCTGATAACCTCCTTCACGTAATCGCTGCCCTGGGATCTCTGGGTAAAGTGCTTCTGACACATATTTGACAGGCTTCCCTAGAGAAGCTGCCTGTTATTCCGCATAGTTGTTTTCCCAGCGCTCATCAAGGCCAAGACTGATCTGTCTTTAATCCTTTCCAAACCAAGAGGTAGAAAACACATCTAGGTTCAAGTTTGCATTTCTATGCTTATAAGTCACGCTAGTTTATTATTTTGCAACTGTTCACGCCATCATTATTATTGTTATGGGGAAAGATCCTGCTACACTGAGGATTCCAATCATTTGCCATATGGGCTACAAATATTCCCAATATGCTGTTTGCTTTTAACTTCTCATGGATTACTGTAACATCTAGCAGCTTATGATTTTTAAGTTTGAAAAACCAATAGATGTGCTCTTTATGTATTCTGATTATCATGCTATACTTAAAAATGGCACATCTAGTCCCAGGTTTGTTTTGCTAGCATTTTCTTCTACCTATTTAGCATTTTTAATATTATTTTATGATTTTATTTTAGAAGAACGTGTCTAGGTTTAATCCAACTGAAATGTATTTGCCTCATCAACTGAGATAAGAATCTAAACCAAACAGTTAACCAATTATCTTGTCACCACATTGAATAATTCATTCAGCAATTATTAGAAATGCCATCAAGGTAAGAGGAGAAATTAGAATTCCTTTACTCTAAGTGACCTGATAAGTATCTCCAAATATTTTGATACCACTCATGTGGAAAGAGGATTAGTCAGGTCTGAAATCTCAGAAAGCAGACCTCTGTGTGTGAATGGAAGGACGCATGGAGAGATGATGAGAGGATCTTTGGGACCCGAAGGGGCGCCCCCTGCCCGAGAACAGATCTAGACAAGCCCCTGTCTCTGAGGAGGATGGTTGTGTGGAGTTCACCAATTTTTTCCAGTATGAGAATTCCTGAATCTATTCACCCAGGGCAAGTGAGGACTCAGACATTCTCTTTCCATAACTTGGCATTCCATGCAGAGAACCCCAGAATTGATGGACAAAGTGGACAACAGATCAAAACAAGCAGACCTTTGGGACAGGGTCACACAGAAGCCACCACTGAATGACCCTGGTGGTCTCAGTGTGTCCGGTTCACAGCGGGCACCCTTAGCCAGCCCTGCCCAGTGTGAGAACCAAGCCAGAAGCCCACGGCTGGGTCCAGTCTCTCATGCTAAGGGATCACAGGAGCTGGGAAAGTATTTGCTCTGTTTATTTTGGGCTAGAAAAATTGCATCTTGTTTGTGTGTATGTGTTTAGCAACAGAGAAAGATTGGGAAACCTAAATTTAACAAATGCTAAATATATAATTGTTCCAAAGAAAAGTAAGAGTTATTTTCCCACCTGGCAGAAATGTGTGGGAAATAGCGCCCCCGGAAACCCAGGGCCAAGAAGAAGGGCATGATTTTTCATCATAGAATTTTTTTCTGTGACAGAGCTTGGCATTTCTTCCCACTAATCAAATATGGCCAGAGTTATTCCATCTATTTAAGGGCATGACTCTGGTCTCTGAAAGTTCAAGACAGGACACATGCCCTTAGCTGGTGTTCTCAGCAAAGCCCAAGTAGTCTGGCTAGTTTTACCATGAGAAACAAATGGGGATTCGCAGGAAGGAAACCCTTGCCACTGGCCTGAGACCCTGAGAGCCGGGTGGAGCTTCTGATGTGGACCCAGTGCCCAAGGAGTCTTCTGTCTATGAGCAGGACAGAAAGTGAGGGAAGGGAGCCTGTAACACAGTGACGGGCAGAACAGAGGAGCCCCGACCCTCAGTCTGCCCCGGCGATAAGGGCGCATGTGCGTGTGGTCAGGCTGGGCCGGGGTGGATGTGCAGGGACCTGGCCCAGAGCTCCACCCTGACTGTGGGCAATTGTTTTGTCCTCATTCACTGTGACAACTGTCCCGGGCTGTGACAACCACAGACTGGATGCTGAGTCTGCGCCCAGCTCCCTAGCTCCCTCACAAGGGGTTGACCTGGGCCTGTGAGTGAGCCTCTTGTCCTCTACTAGCCTGCTCCTTACTGTGACAAGGACCAGCACCTGTGTGCAGAAGGAGTCACCGTGAGGAACAATGACCACAGTCCTCGTGCGCATGTGTACGTGTGGAGCGCATCTGTGTAAGGGTTTCACATCAGCACTGGCACAGACTGTGGGTCAGGTGCTGGCTAGCTGACCAGGACAGTGACTGGTCTTGGCAACTTCCCATGGTCACTGAGGGTCACCCTTGCCGTCTGTTCTGTCTGTTACCTTGTGTGTTATTCAGCTTCTATCACATTGGTAAAGTCCTTGGGATCATCAGCTTAAAAGGAGGAAAGATGCATTCAGGCCCACGATTTCAGGGGCTTCAGGCCATGGTCACCGGGCCCTGTGCTTTGGTCACCTGACCTCAGCAGTGAGGCCACCCAAGAGTGGGAGTGCATGCAGCTGGGAAGGAGGGGAGAGGGAGGGGACCCCAGAGGCCCTCCAAGCCACACCCCCAATGACCTCACTTCCTCCCAGCATGCTCCCCCTCCCAACAGTGCCACACACTGGAGACCACACCTTCAATACAAAGCTTTTGGGGACACTTCCAGCCCCTGCTGTGCATGAGCAGTGATGAGGGACAGCAGAGCCACCAGGATAAAGTCAGTCTGTACCCTATGATGTAACTGATCCAGAAAACAAACGTAGAAAGTCATAGTTGATACTTTCCTATGTTCTTATTTCAGTGTTTCTCCTTGACTAACATTTTGGAGGAAATGGTTCTGAGGCCAGCCAGAAATGACGCCAGTGCTGCTCTCTTCCTGCTGGCAGTGGCATTCACCTGCCATGGAGAGAGAGAAAGGCCATGCATGCCTGGCTGGCCCTGGAGGGCCACCGTGGAGAAGGGAGGAGCCGCATTCCTCTCCCCAACGCTGTACCCTGTGAGCTCCCAAGCGCCCCAGAGGCTGTATTCCCGTTTGCATTCACACAGAAAACCAGGCACCCTGACGAAAACCTGCCTCACTGGCTCCTGCCAGCCGTCTGACTCAGCCTGCTGTTCCAGACAGTTTGTCCCAGTCTCCTCGCTCCTCTGCCAGACCCGCTCCCCGCTGGATCCAATTCCCAGGCCATTTCTGGCTTCTTGTTCAGCCCCTAGTCTCTGGAGCTGGGGTTTCCATCTGGTGCTCCCCCATGCCCACCACCTCAGCTCCCTGCAAGGCTCCCGTCCTGGCTGGGGCCTGCACACGCCCTCTTCTAGGGTGGCCCGGTGAAGGACAGAATACCCAGGTATATTTGCATTTCACATACTTGAGATCTTCTTATTTATTATAAGACTTACCCACGTTTATCTGAAATCCTACTTGAACTGGGCATCCTGGGTTGTTTTTGCTAAATCTGCAGCCTTTTTCTGACTTGGGTTTGCCTTGGGGACTGTACCAGCTCTGGCCAACTCCCAGGACAGCACTCCTCAGTCTGCAGCCACCCAAATCCCAAAGGTGGGCATCATTTCAAGTGAGCCCCACCTCCCCCGTCTCCTTTCCTGTGTCGAGGAGAGCAGTCTGCCCTGTATATATCGACTTCCGCTGTACCAAAGGGGATGAGAGAAGCTACATTCAGCCCATGTGTGTGCTCTGTCATCCCCAGGGCAGACGACCTCCAGCTCAGCCTGCAATCAGCCATGGCTTGCGCCCAGGTAACTGACGTGTTTCCTTTACAGATATGCAGGCCTCTAGGCAAACAGAGGCGTCTGAGGTGTCAGAGAGCAGCCTGCAATTCCCAGGATCCTTTTAAGAGCTGAGGCTTTCCAGACTGTTGTGTTACAGGTACTAAAGCAGGTTTTCATCTCCAAGGCAGAGATTCTCCCTGAGACTCGGAATAGTCCGTCAGACCTTCGAAGACTGCAAAGTCCAGCAGAGGAGACAGCATGGGCATAAAAACCAGCATTTGCTCTGAGGCACCCACTGGGATGGCAGGTCACTCATATGACAGTCAGAAAACTGGGCGCTCGGCAAGGATGCAGCTGGACGTACATCCCCAGTCTTGCAGTGTGGATTTGTGGGAGGCTGAACAGAGGCTGTGATTAGGGTGAATAATCATCAGGGCGCAGTCACAGCAGTGATGTCACACCAGCTGTGGACCCGGAAGTCAATCTGGCAAGAAGACTTCTGTACGCATGTCTCAGCCGTGTAACGTTTCTCAAGTTTTACTTTTTATTAATACGTGTTTTTGTACATAACAATTGCATGCATAAATGGGAGTTAGAACATGGACATAACACATCTTAATTCTGACTTCCCTTCTCCCCCCCTCCATCTCTTGGTCCCATTTGCAGAAGGTCACTGCTTAATTTATGCTTAGACTAGCACATGAGACGCAGGCCGAAGGCCAGACATGTAGCCACAGGTGAGAGGCAGAAGTTGTGCGTGTTAGAGCTGCAGCAGTGTTGTTGATAGCCACAGGAGAGATGCTCACACAACCCACCGTGGTGGGCCCGAACCGGGTGGTGTTTTTCCTAGCAGAGAGGAGAAAAGTGGATCTGGGGAAGTCTGTGCATGTTTGTATGTGATAGATAAGGAAAGGGAGCAAAGAACTGGTTCATCCTATGGGTTTGGAAGTCTTGTTTTAAAATCCTGCTTCTTAAGTTCTGCTTACAAATGGAAAGGGAAGTTGCAAGGCCTGACCAATAAAGGTAGATGACGTCTTTATTCATTAATTAATATCCTAGTTTTTGGAGAAACACTGGAAGCTAGATGTCACTATGTGAGGACAGACAGACCACTGGCTTGAGTAGGGGGTGGATGATCAGGACAATGGTGTGTGGCAGTTGGTCTCTGCTTTTAAGTCGTGCCTGGTCTGCTGAATGTCACAAGAATACCTGCCTGCTGCAGTGTTAGACACACTGCAGTACTGTCCCTGGGGCTGCTGAGTGTTCTGAGGCTCACAGGAATGTGTCAAAAGCCTTCAGAAGGGTTCTGCTGTGGGAAGCTTATATATCCGATGACCACGGCTACAACCTCCTTCCTGGGGACATGATTAATGCATGGCGTGTGGCAGCACCGTGATGATCATGTTATCATCATATTATCCTCAGTGGTGGCAGGGGATAAGATGCAGGTAGAAGGCATGGCACTGGCTGATCAGGAGGCTGTGGCGCTTGGTTGCTATGGCAACAGTAACACTCAAGATAAAGGAGTCATTGAGCTTCCTCCTGCCGCCCAGCGAGCTTGCAGAGGGAAAGGCAGAAATTAATGCTCTGCATATTCAGTTAAGAGCATGGTGCACAGCTAGCTCTTGAAGAGTCCTTAACTGTGGTCGTGTGTGGATGTGGGTGAGGTGCTGGTTCAGGTGCTGATTACAGAGCTGCACAGTGAATGCTCATTAAATGCTGGACCCAACCAGGAGTTGCTAGGGTAGGGAAAATGGCAAGGAGGACACTGGGTATGGGATGAGGACATTTAAGCAGATCCGGAATGAGCTCCACAGCTCTGAACCTCCATGTTAGTGTGAACAGTTCCTTCATTAGACAAGAACCAGCCTGCTGTCCTATTTGGGTTTGCCTTCACTGTCCTGTTTCCCCTTGGACTCCACCTGTCCCTTCTCTGAGAATACTTTTGTCACACCTGGCAGTGGCAACTCCTCCTACTCCAAGTGGCTGTGCACTGTGTCACTCGCTCTGTTGTCATCGCTGTTATTTTTTGTTGTTGGTTTTGCATTGCTGGGGATCAAACCCAGGCCTCACATACCCTGGGCCGGGGCTGTACCACCAAGCCACATCTCCAGCCAGTGTTTTACCCACCTCAGCATCTTATTTGCCAGCCAGAGTGTGTCTACTTACCTGAGGGTGGGTGTCTAAGGGCAGGCCTTTGTGTTGAACACCATGTTGCTCCCACACGAGCGCTGTACCTGGTGGACAGCCGAGACTTACTGAAGATTTGCCACATGAAAATATGAATGTGAAGTACAGCAGTGAATGCGAATAGAGAAACAAAGTGTTAATCTGAGGGACCGACTGGGTCAGCCATCATCTTCTAGTGAAGCCTAGACCTGTGTTGATATGAAAGTAGAAATGGCCAATGCAGAAAGAGGGACACTGGGAATTAGGAGGCCTGTTGTTATGGTTTGTGTCTGGATGTCCCCCCAAATCCTCATGCAGTCATGGGGCGGGCTTCTAGATTTATAATTGATCCATAGTCCAACGCTGGGATTATGGGTATGAGTGCTACATCTGCCCCTGGGGCGGATAGTTTGCATATGGGGGAGAAAAAGTCTGCTTGCCTTAGCTCCTCCCTTTTGCTCTTGCTAATTTTGCTCTCCCCCTCCCCCACCATGAACTATTGCTCTCTGCCTTGTGCCACTCTGCCTTGGAGCCAGCCATGTATGAACTGAAACCTCCACAAAGTGTGAGCTAAATAAACCTTTCCTTCCTTAATTTTGGACGTTGGGTGTTTTGTCTCTGCAACGAGAAAAAAAGTAACTGAGACATGTATTAGTCAGGTTTTTGTCCCTATGACAAAATAGTTGAGCAAAACAATTTAAGGAGAAAAGGTCTATCTTGGCCCATGGCTTGGAGAAGTTTCAGGACATGGCTGGCTGGTTCCATTGTTTTTGACCGGTGGTGAGGAAGAAATATCAGGCACAGGGATGTGGTGGAGCAAAGCTGCTCACCTCATGGCAACCAGGAACCAGAGAGGAAGAGGTGGTCCCCACCGGTTTGCACTCCTGTGACCCCCTCTTCACCTAGCCCCCACCTCCTGCTTCCATCACCTTCCAACAATGCTGTCAAATTATGAGCTCTTAAGTGGATGAATCCACTGATGAAGTTAAAGTCCTCATGATCCAGTCGGTGCCCCCAAACCTAGCAGCAATGAAGATTTCAACACAGTATGTCTTTGGGGGGACACTTTGGATCCCAGTCATAACAAGGCCATCTAGCAAGCATTGTGGCATGGGAGTGGTGGAACACTGGACAGGAGGAAGAGGAGAAAAGGGGTTTGCTTCACTGGGAGAGAAGAGCCTGCCTTCTGTGTGCAGGTACAAAGTGAGATGCCGGAGGCTGAAGCCAAGGACATGTATTAGACAGCTTTCCTGTTGCAGGGACACAACTCCTCGCAGCCTCAATTTAAAGGAAAGGGTTATTCAGCTCTCAGTTTCAGGGGATTCAGCCCATGGCTGCCTGGCTCTAAGGCAGGAACATCATGGCAGAAGAGTATGCAGAGCAAAGCTCAGTGGTAGCTGGGAGCAGAGCAGGGGGCAGCCCCAGAGAAAAAGGGGCCAGGGGCCATATTCCTCCATGAAGCACCCAGACACACACAGAGGTGTGCTTCTCCAATTCCTTGGGTGGATTCCAAGCCAATCAAGTTGTCACAAGCACTTACAGGACATCAGTCATCTGGCCTGCCTCAGTCCACAGGACATCAGCTCAACACTAGAAGAAAAGAAGCCAATGGTAGAACATCATCCTGGAGGTCCTCTTCTGGGAATTTCATCCAGTATTTTGAGTGACCCCCTGGAAAACCACTGGGAGCTGAAGTTCACCTTTGTGTGGTGGCAGAAATTGATGAACCTGTCTTATTCCAGTACAAGAAATTTCCTTTCAGCTCAGCACCGCTACTTCATCCTCTTGCAGTTCTCTTCACCCTCTCTGTCAAATACTTCTGCTTTGGGACTGCCCAGCTGGATGCTCATCCTGACCACTGCAGCAGCCCCATGAGGTGATAGGAGTGACATTTATCCCTGTCCTATGGTACACAGGATGTTCTCAAGGTCACCATGTTCATGATGTGCAGTTTCCATGGAATGCAGTATTTCTTTCCACTGGTCTTTACCGAGTCCAAATCATTGACAGACAGACCACATCCACGCAGCTGGCTTCATCCAACGCAAACAGGTGTGGGGAAAGTAGTGCTTTCCTTCGGAGACTGTTCAGATCCCCAGACCATTCCTTCACATTCTGATTTCCCAGGTCAGTCACTCTGGCCCTCAGTCATAATCAGTTTAACCATGAATCTATTCCACAGCGGATGCAATCTGTGTCTTCTCATTCCAGTGTGATAATACATTTGTTGAGGGCTGGGGCCCTGCTTACCAGTTGAGGGCCATGAAATCTGTGAATCTAAATAAATACCCCACGGGTGATTATTTTGCAGACAGGCTAAAAACAAACAATCAAGTAAACAAAAAATTCAGCAATATCCTTTTACGGAATTGCTGACAGGCAGCTGCACAAACAATGGGCTTGCTGTTTCTTCGCTTTCAGTAATTTGTCACTGGTTTTAATTGCACTGAATTAAACTAGAAGTCAGTTGTAGCTGACGATAAATAACCAGATTGAGGGGTGTTTTTACCTTTTTAGCTTTATGCAGATAGTTTCACTCAAACACACTCATCCACGAAATAAAACATACCTGTGAGATGGATCCCACAGATCTGAAAGGGAGTATGTGTCTGGGGTGGATGCTCATGGCCAGAAGCCAGCTCCAGGGAGGTCTGGAAGTTTCCATGGTGACATCCCAAATGACACAGGGGCCAGCGAAGGTCAAACTTAAGCACAACAAAGCAGGCTGCCAAGGTCTCGGAACTAGGTCAAAAGAAGTCACTGTGCAGGAAAACCACACGGGCACAGCCCAGGGACAGAGCAGCAGCCAAGTGAGCGCAAATCCCCTGACCTCTTTCCATTCTTTTCCATGGGAATCTATGCTTTTTGGGTATTTGTTTCCGCATAGCTTCTTAGCTCTGGCTGGCTTGCTAAGCAGACCCTCAGCACGCAGGCCTCGGCATGGCGCAGTTCCATGATTCTGTTTAGAAGGAGCCCAGTTCCTGCCAGTGGGTGGTTTTCCCAAAATGTCTCATGGCATCTTCAGCAGCTCTGTCCACTGCTGGGTTTGCAATAGGCTGGGGCCGGGTTGTTACTGACAGGAGGGCTCATGTTCATGTCCTCTCTACCTTGTGGAGGAGACCATCCAATGCTTATGGAGTAAGAGGCACTTTGCATTTATGTTGGTTATTTTATTTTCTGTGGTATAGATGTGGTTTTAGAACCTTTAAGAGGTGGCAGTTAGTGAAAGGTGACTGAGTCACAAAGGCCTCAGCCTCAGAAGGGATCGATGCAGGACTCAAGGGACTGTGCTAGTTCACACCATCCTGATGCAGTCTACAGGGACACGCTCACCAGGACTGAGCTGGAGCCAGAACCATGAGCCAAATTTCTCTTAATGCAGAGTCTCAGCCTTGGGGATTTTGCTACAGCCATACAGACTAGATTAAGACACTGACAGCTCTGTGACCTTGGGTTAGCATCCTTGTTTTCCAGATAGGAAAACTGAGCTCAGAGAGTTTAAGCAACTTGCCCAAAGCTATCCAGATAACACACGGCAGAGCTGGGTTCAGTCTCAGGTGTGTCTTGATCCGAAGGCTCTGCTGTCTCCACAACAGGGGGCTGCTCTGTGTTTCTGCGGCTGATCGTCCCATTCTTACAAAATGAACAGGCAACTCTCCTGGGTTTTGGAGGCTGGTCCTAGTGCTCAGAACTTGGAACCCCGCTGGTGCAGCATAGGAGACTGGGGCCACATGTTCACGAGATTATACATGCTTCCATTTGAACAGCATAACTACTACATTTATTTTAAGATCCCAGGAAAAAGAACTGATGTGTGTGGTTTAAATGTGGACTTATTATCCAGTTTTTAAAATTGAATCAATGGGCTTAATTT